TAGTTTGATTTATCGGGTACCATTCGTAGGATAAAAGAGTCTTGTGTATTGCATGCTAGTCGAATTGGTATCCCATTGGCCTAGGAGGAAGGTGCATGAACCCTTAGGCGTTTCTCGAGTAATATGGTTGACCACGCATAAGTTATCCCCTATGATTTCCCCCCTTCTTATGTGCTAATATGGGTTGCATGTGCTTGGCTATGTGTTAATTGTGCATGATACCCCAATTGGTTGCGATCAATTGGCTATACAGGCAGTTGGATGGGTTGAGAACTATCGGCTATTAACCCGGCCGGTTGCGATCGGTCAGCTATACAGGCAATTGGATGGGTTGAGAACCATCGGCTGTTATTTATATATATAGGGCTGTGGTCCATAATCTGGTTTCGATAAGATATACATACTATTCGGGCTACGGTCCACCGTTTGGTTACGATCAAACGTTATAAATGAGTTGCGGTTGATCGATTGGTTACGATCAATCTCCTTGTGCTGCGGTACAAGCAGGGTGCTTCGAGGCCGTGTCAGAGCTATATACGCTGACCCTCATGTATGGGCATGCGATTGGTCCTGCCGCACCACCAAATGTGTTTACGTGTTGGAAATAGTGATTGAACACTGATATGATTGATATGAAATAGTCCTGTGACCTTAGGATGCATGGTTGTATCTTTATAAATCTGATGAATGTGCCTGCCCTTGCTTGCTTGAGTCTATTCTCGGTTTTAAATTAGAGTTTCATAAGTATATATGTATTCCGGCTTCAAAATGGTTTTCCTTATATATATATATATATATATATATATATATATATATATATATATATATATATATATATATATATATATATATATATATATATATATATATATATCTACCTATATTGTATTTAACGTGTTGGAATGGGTTACCAACATTATTCGCTGAACAGATATATTCGGCTTTCAGGCATAGATGAGTAGCTCCGGAGCGCGCTAGTTGGACTCGTGGCTTAGCTAGTTTAGTTCATCTATCAGCATGCGTGCCATGATGATGTACTTAACATTAATTTGAGGATTTCTACTGTCTGGATAGTTTAGCCTGTGCATCTGAGTTCTCTAGCTCAGATGTGGCATAGCACCCCAACAATTATGTTTTGTTATGCTCTGTTTGGGATTTAATGATAGTATTGCCTTTATTTCATAAGCATTAAAAGTTTTAAAATTTAGGGGTGTTACAGTTATACAATAACATATATTTTCATATAAACCTAGAATGTAATTAAAATAGTACTTTAATATTACTATAATTAAACTAGTGTGTGTGAAAAATGAAACTACAAAATAGAGCTCATACAATAATGTATATTGTCAAATGAAACTGTACTAGAATTAAAATGATACTTTCGTATTCCTATAAAGAAACTAGTGTATGTGTAAAAAATGTAACTAAAAAACAGAGTAATATTGTCAAATGAAACTGAAGTATAATTAAAATGGTACTTACTTCATAGGCCATACTGCTATATGCATCATGGTCCACAATAAAATTTTCCAGCAGAAGCAGGGTCATGAACAACACACATTTCCTTTCGAACTTTGGCCTGCATTTCACGGAGCACCGCCACCTCGTCTTCCATTTCCTTCAACCTCTTTTTCAACTCATCCAATTCCACGACAACTCCGGCCTCCGCCACAGCGGCTATTTCCACGTTTTTAGTTCATTCACAAGTTTTAGTTGAGGATTTTTTTTTTTGTTCTTTTGATAGAAAAAATTGAAAAATTAGTTGCATGAATTTTATAGTAAAGGGTGTGTTTGGAAAATGACTGATCAGCTATTTTCCAGTTGGTTTGACCAATTTTGACGGATCTTAGTCTTTAGTGGAAGAACTTATATATTGGAATAGCTGATTAGGGCAGATATATTGGAAGAATTGTATAGTAAAATACACATAAACTCCTAACATAATACACATAATCTAGCATAATACATAATACACATAAACTCTTAACAGAATACATATAAACTCTCCATAATACACATAAACTCTTAACATAATATATATAAACTCTTAACAGGATACACATAAACTCTTAACAGAACACACATAGACACAAGTGTTATAACTAACAAACAAAAAAAAAATAAATAAAAAATAAAAATAAAAATAAAACTGTAACGGGATTGTTAAGTAATACTTATAAAAACAATGCCGTTTTGGGTAAAGGCGCACAATGCATTGTGCATCCTAGTGCACGATATAACGATTTGAGGCAATCTAGGAGTTTTTTTTTGTTTTTTTTTTTGTTTTTTTTTTTTTCCCTTTTAAGGCTCTAAGCTCACATGAATAAATGACAAGCAAATCTCAGTAATAATCTTTCCAAATCCTCTCTATATTCTTTCTACATTTCCATTTTAGGCATGCGAACTCATTTACTCCATGGAATTGAAGACTGGATTTCTCATCACCGTTCACCTCCCTTTTAGATAATTATACTCTATTTCACTTGCATTACCTTTATTCTTGCATCAATTTAAAAATTAAACCCTAGATCTGAACATATATAGTTCTAGCATTTCAGGCAAGTGGACTAGTTTCCTCCAACCATGACCGATTTTTGTTTTTTTATCATTTTCACCTTCCTTTTAGGTAATTATACTCTAGCATATCATGTGCATTACTTTTAATCTTGTAGGGGTACATGAAACAAACCCTAGATCTGTAAAGTTTTTTACTATTTCTGGCTAGTGAACTTATTTTTTCTATGCAGACTTGATTTATAATCATTGCCCAGTTGCCCACATTCTTTTTAGGTAATTATATTTGATCAATTTAACTTTGCATTACTTTTAGTCATACACTCGTGCATATCAAGACCAAACCATAAATCTGTAAATTATTTCAAAATTTCTACCATTTTAAGTAGGTGAACTCATTACTCCAAGGAAGATCAAATTTCTCATTGTTGTTCACATTCCTTTAAGGTAACTCTACTCTATTTTGCTCAATCATGCATTGGTAAAGAGCACAAAAGCTAGATGTATAAGTGATTTATACCATTTTTGTAAGTGCAGTATCTATTAATTTGTTTTGTCATGATAGTGGAAAGAAATTTAATCTAATGTGTTATATTTTTTACTATTTTGGATGTAAACCTATATATATGATCTTACATGCATATATAAATATACTTGTCATCAAAATTGAAATATGCTGGTCCAACATCTTGATCAAGGATTCATGCCTTTAGCATCAAAATTGACGTTGTCAAGTGTGCATTTGTTGGTGCAGTGTGTTGGTGTTTTTTACTGAAATAGGTAAATTTCATGAGGGATAGACACAAATGGACAACTTTTAAACTTTGGACAAAAAAACGAAAACTCATTTGAAACTTTGAGTTGATAAAAAATGCAACTCCCACTCGAGTTTGTCAAATTTCTAAAAAAATAATAATAATAATAATAATAACCTAACATACAACAAACGCAAATACAACTTGTGTTTCTCATACAAATATGAGAAACATACTTAATGTATTGAACTACTACATAGAATTAATTAATATATTCCAAGTACGACTTCTTCTTCTCCAACAAACGAAGCCATATATATGTTCACTTCTTTGTCATCTCTGATCTGGTTGGCTTCTTGCATCAGATCCCTCCGTAATGTATGGTTCCACGCACAATACTTCAGCAACCTACAACTCATTATGTACTTCCAATTCAAGTGAATTCCCATAGCCTCATGCTAGCACACAACAGGCTTCTGGATCAGGGATTACAAGTCACCCTCAACAACTTCAGTCTAATTCTATGGGGCAGGACAATAGGCTTTTGAGCCTGAGGAAAATAAGAATGAGCAGTACCAAGCAACACTACTGTTTGCTGCCAATCTACTCTAAAAAATACAGCAACAACAGCCAAGTAGCCAAAGTAGTCAAGGGCCAGGGAGGTATCAAGAATAAAGTTGAACTTTCGTTTATCGTATGCCATAATACATACGAGAAACCCAAGTTGTATATACTAACATGTATTTTAAAAATTTGACAAACTCCTCGGTTGTGAAGTTCAATGCATGATTTGTGCAAGGATGGTGCTGTGTTTGTGCATCAATTGAAGATTCCCTAAAAGAATTTGAAGACATTTTTTGTGTTATTTTGAGAGAAAATTTTGAAATATTAGTAGCAAGAATTTTATAGCAAAGGGAGTGTTTGAAAAAATAGCTTCAACGTAGGCATATCCCTTTGGTTGCCCAAACTTATCAATACGGATAATAACTCTATTTACCGTACCACATGCCTGGAAGTGCTACTTCCTCAGGGGTGCATGAGTATTATGTTAAGCCAATATGTGGCTAGAATGTTTTTAGTTGTTACTTGTTCTATTTTTGCTCCTATAGACTAGTTATATTTGATTGCAACTTCCTACAATTTACACTCCTCCATGTACTATATATAGGTTGTAATTTACATCAATAAACATACAGTTAATTCCATCACATGGTATCAAGAGCCATACTCCCTTAAGGAGTTCTTTTTTTGTTTTTTTTTTTTTCTCTCTTCTCTTTCGCCATTATTATATCCATGGCTAGAACCACCACTGACATTGTCCACCTCAATGCTCCGTCTAATTTTCTTATCAAACTCCCCCCCCCCCCCCCCCTCAACTTTCCTGCTAGGAGGCGCCAAGTTCAGTCCACCCTGATTGGCTTTAATCTCCTCGGATACATCGACGGTTCTGTCAAAGACCCAACAAAATTCAATGATGCTGCACAAACAACTCCGAATCCAGCACATTTGACTTGGTATCGCCAAGATCAGATAATTACCAGTGCTTTACTTGGGAGTTGTTCAGACACCGTACAACCTCTTATAGCTTCCGCATCCACTGCTTGTGATGTCTGGCAACGGCTCGTTGCTAGCTATGCTAGTGCCTCCCGAGGACGGATCCTTTCCCTCAAGGCCAAGCTTACCTGAAATCCAAAGGGTAATCGGTCAGTCACCGCATTTTTGAATGACATGCGATCCATAGATGACGTTCTCGCCCTGGCTCAATGCCCTATTTCTGATGAAGATATGGTTGTGTACATTTTAACACAACTAGAGGACGAGTATAGCTCCATCGTATCTGTCGTTCGTATCCGTGACAAACCCATTTCTTTGGGAGAGTTAGCCGATGCGCTCACGGATCATGAACGTCAGTTGACTGAAGTTGATGATGCTCGCCAATCTCTTTTGGCTACTGCTAATGCCTCCCAGCGTGGTCCTTTGGCTTCTCGAAATATTCAGCACTCCACTACCGATCGGAGGTCCCGCAACAACACCAACAACACGTATGGCAATAATAGACCGAATTGGTCACATAACAGCAACACTCGACCTGGTGTTGTGTGTCAATTCTGTCACCTTGATGGCCTTGAAACACGTGTTTGCCGTAAGTTAGCCCGATTTTTAAAGGCCCATAACGTATTTCCCGTGCAGGCTCCTACATTTCCTCAATCTCAGTCACCCGCAGCTAATTCTACCGTGGGATGGAATATGCCGTGGATGTTTGAGAGCGGGGCATCTCACCATGATACACCTGATATGACTCCTCTGCACACTTTCACTGAGTATAATGGTCCGGATGGGATACGATTAGGCAACGGTAATTCTTTAAACATCTCTCACATTGGTCAGTCATCTATTCTCCCTCCCTCTTCCGTGCTCACTCTCAAAAATGTCTTATGTGTTCCACATGTATAAATGTCTAGACTACAGTTCGAATCGTATTTATGTATCTAGGCATGTTAGATTTGTGCCTCATGTATTTCCTTATAACGATTTGCAAAAGTCATCTAACTACTTACCTTCTGATTATCATGATTCTGAATCACGCAGTATTTTGTGCAAGTCGTCTACTTTGTGTACACATTGCCAACAAAGACGGAACGAGAATCCTCTTCTTCCCTATTCGATTGGCTTGCAGCAGCAGAAGCTAGTTGTTATACAGTGGACCATGGTCGTCAAATGAAACTGCAGTAGAATTAAAATCATACTCCAGTGTTGCTATAATGAAACTAGTGTGTGGAAAATGAAACTAAAAAGCAGAGCTCATTTTCAACAACATATATTATCAAATGAAACAGTAGTATAATTAAAATGATACTTTAATGTTGTTATAATGAAACTAGTGTGTATGGGAAATAAAACTATAATTAGAGTCATACAATAACATATATTATCAAATGAACCTAGAATGTAATTAAAATAGTACTTTAATATTACTATAAAACTAGTGTGTGTGAAAAAATGATACTACAAAATAATGCAATAATGTATATTGTCAAATGAACTGTACTAGAATTAAAATGATATTTTGGTATTGCTATAATGAAGCTAGTGTATGTGCAAAATGTAATGTAACTAAAAAATAGAGCAATATTGTCAAATGAAACTGAAGTATAATTAAAATGATATTTACTTCATAGACCACACTGCTACATGCACCATGGTCCACAATAAAATTTGCCAGCAGAAGTAGGGTCATGAATAGCACACATTTCCTTCTCAACTTTGGCCTGCATTTCCATCCATTCCACGACAGCTCCGGCCTCCGCCGCAGCGGCCATTTCCACGTCGTCGTCGCCACCATCCAAGATTTTTATTTTTCACTTAGATAAGATGAAAATATGTGTTGTTTCATCAAAATTATAGTTCATTCACAAGTTTTAGTTGAGGACTTTTTTTTTTTTGTTCTTTTCAGAGAAATATTTGAAAAATTAGTTGCAAGATTTTTTTAGCAAAGGGAGTGTTTGGAAAATGACTAATCAGCTATTTTCAAATGTTGATTGATTAGGGCAATTAGCTTATTTCAACTTCTTCTAAAAGCCAAAATTATCCCTATCTTCAATCTCATGGGTAAAACATATGTGGGAAGATAATGGAAGAGAAAATATAAGGAAAGGAGCATAGAGATATATGATGGAAACTAGTGAAAAATAGGTTCTCAATCTTATTTTATTCTTCCAGTTCAAATTCGAGTTATATGTTTACAATTAATTTTTATATTAAATTTATAGTTAATGGTAAATTTTGTATATCTACACATATATTAAAAGTTGTATTGTTAACAAAAAAATTGAATTTAAAAATTTTGAAAACAATATTTAAGAAATTAAGTGGATAACTTCTTTTTATTGTAAAATATTATTTCTCTTACTTCTCTCTTTTCTATTTTCTTAGTTGTATGGTATTGAATTGTATTATGATGTATGTTCACGCGAGAAAACACGATTTTTCATAACTCGTTATCAGCACGAAGTGTTCTATATCCTTGGTGAACTTAAAAAATGATTCCCATTTGCTTCTACATTTAATTCCAGTGTTCTTCGCGAAATTTCCCAAGCTACGTCGAATATCTATTGTCATGCCTTGTGTGTACCAAACATGTTACTCTTTATTTAAAATGGATGTGCATGACTCAATTGAGAATTTGGTGTCTAAGACATAAGGGATAATTGATATGCATATTTTACACTCTTATTTTGTATACATTTTCATAATATTTTTGCATTAGTTATTTATAATTATTTCATTTTTGAGTTTAATAATTAATTAAGTTAAATTAGTGTTTGCTAAGCACTTTGTGCTTAGATGGCATATAGTGACCTCTCTCATATGAAAGGTCATGAGATTGAGTCTTAGTAGATGCGTTGTTGACTCTTTGTGTTTTTGTTCTTCTTTAGGTTGAGAAAGTATGTTTGAACATATACTACAATGTAATAGAGTCAATAACATTCAAAAAAAGTTAAATTAGTGCCAAACCACCCAAAATCTTAGAAAAGACAAAACAAATAAAATAAATTGTGTTCTTTGTACAGAATGAATGGCGCAGCAGCAAAAGAAGTCAAATGGCGCTATTCCGACGTCATTACTACAAGGATTTTCGGAAGACCATGTCGTGCGACACAAAAATATGAAACTGACGGTTGGAAAATGATTCGAAAATATTCTAAGAGTAGTATAAATAGTGAAGGTTTTCTATTGTAAAACGTACATCCATTCTTCTTCCTCTAGATAATCTTAATTCGTATTTCTTTGAAGTTGTTATCAATGTCCCTACATGGCTAATTTTCTTTAGCTTGGTTACGTAAATTGAAGCCCCATAATTGATTATGCTATGAGATTATTTATTTATTTTTGTTATATAATTTTTATGCATTTGAGCATTAAATATTCTTCTAAATTATTTGCATAGTTGTATCATTTAATTGCTAGGAAGGCCTACTAGTTATTTATTTGATATAATTATTTGCTATATTAGCTAATGTTGTGCTAAAATTATTCTAATTTCAGTAGTAACTGAGATTAATTATTGACGGCTTTAGTGAAAATTGGTCTCAAGTAGAATATTTTCCTAAATTAAATGCAATCGCTTGTACTTGTGTTATTTACTTTGTTGGTTTTCCTAGTTCCTATTGCTGCTATTAAATGAAATCTATATCGCTTGTCTTAGATTATTTAGTAGTTAGAGGTAATTAAACCACTTGTGCTTTAGTTACCTACAACTGAGGGAAAACGGAAATGAAATAATTTCACGACAAATATTCAATTGCATATTAATTGTTGAAATATAAAGAGTTGGGTTTATCTATAAGGTTGTGTGTGCTTATGGGTAGTTACTTACAAGTTATGTGATTGTATATATATATATATGTACTATGTTTCTTTGTTAGAAACACAGACAGATAATACAGAATCATATATTATCTATACATTTTCCATTCCTTGAATCTTCATTATTGCTTCCGCCTAACTGGCGGGTAGTGTTATTCTCCACCCGCCAGGCCATTGCATCTTTCAAATTCAACATGGTATCAGAGCCTACTTTCCTAGGGTATGCCAAACATAAAAGTTGTATTTTTCAGTCGCATGAACAGTGATGAACAATAAACTTACTCTTCACACAAACCCTTATTTTTCAAATTACTTGCTTTTGGTGAGTTCTTTTGTCAAATTTGTGTTACCCATCTTTTCTAAAGTTTCCAGCGAGCCTGACCCAGCAAGCCACATCACCGTTGCCGCCGCCACTCACCGCTGCCATTGCCGGACCTCCTATTTCACGCGCCAGCGCGTGTGGCCACCTCCCGCGAGATATTATGACAAAATTTTCCAGATATCTCCGCCAGGCCTTTGCAACTCCATCTGTGTATTTTTCCTTGTGATTTATTTCTCCGGTGAAAATTTCAAATTGTTGTTTTGCCCTTCTTTGGACCTTTTGGTGAAGTTTGAAGGCTTTTTGGCTTTGTAGCCAAACTTCTTTCCAGGGTGCTTTTGGTATAACCGTATTTGTTTCATTATTTTTGGTATACCATATTTATTCCGTAGGGTTTTCAAGTTTGGCACTTTTTTTTTTTAATTTCCGAAAGCCTCTTTTGTTATTCACTTATCGTATAAGGGGTATAAACAACAATCATTCGGTGTTCCCAGTTTGTCATTACTATGGGCTCTACTACATCCCCTTTGCTGCTCATGATTTGTTTGCTCTTCCGTTCTTGATGAAGATTGTTGTTGGCAAATCCTAGAGTGCTTATACATTTTCCATTCATTGATTCTTCATCATTTCTTCCACCTAACTGGCGGGTGGTGTTATTCTCCACCCGCCAGGTCATTCCATCTTTCAAATTCAACATAAATTACCTTTTGAATCAATGATTAGTGCCAAATTCCAGTGGTTGATATTGACTAACTAAGGTTTTCTATTATAAGTGCTTTCAATATTTTGTCTTCATCGTTTTATTCATTAAGGGTCTCTTTGGAAATCAGGAAAATGACTACTGGAAAATGTTTACTGGAAAATGACTCATTTTCCGGAAAACATTTTCATTTCCCGTGTTTGGTTGCACAATGGAAAACTATGTTTTTGTGTTTGGTTCATTTTCTAGAAAATGAATTGAAAAATGAATTGAATGGTATACTTAAAAAATTTACCAATAATAATTGCACAATAGGCATAAACAAGGGGAAGAAGAACCAATCGGAAACCAGTGGCTTTGGTTTCCGGTTGCGGAAACCATATCTCTGGTTTCCGGCTGAGGAAACCAGTGATGAACACCATTGTTGAACGGGGAGGCGGAGCTGAAGCAGCGAAGGTGAGCAACGAAGGTGAAGCAGTGTCTAGTGAAGATGGAAAATGACTTCCCCCCAAAAAAAGGGGAAGTCTTTTTCCGTATAAATGAGGTCATTTTCCATTGACCAGACCTCATTTTCCTTTGACCTCTCGTTTTCCAGCCTAGCCGAACACCAGAAACTCGGAAAATGATTTCCAGAAATCATTTTCCGAGTTTCCAAACAGACTCTGACTTACTTTGATTGTCAATTTCGTACTAAACCCCCCTTCCCTTTAATTTGAGCACATACATTAAACTAGTTACTACTCGTGGGATCAATCCTTACTCCCACTACTATGTTTGTAAGGTTTTAATTTGGGAGCCTACGACAGCTCGCCAATAATTATATTACATATTGAATATGCTTCTCCTTATTTGACAACATTTAGCATTTCTCTTATTCACAATTAATTATTTGCTATAGGCCATAGCTATTGAGGTTTATCGTACAACTTATAAGTGAGACAATAACATGAATTCTCAATATGGTTTTCGTTGTTAGGTTGCACCCGTCGTTGCTAACCTTAGTTTGATATGGTGATATCAATTAGATGATATGAGTCTAAATATTGTGATATCTAGCATAAATATTGACTATAGTTTTGCCCGAAATGAAGGTGAATACATAGCACTAACTATATGATACCAATAGTAGGACAAATTATATAACTCCAATGTGAAATTGACTTGACACGATTCTAAAGTCAATTATTATTTATCCAAATCCAAGTTCTTTGGCTATTGGTTATAACAATTATCATTGGTCATGAGTCTATAACATTAAAGATCTCAATACTTTGTATTGAAACAAAATGATTATGCATAACTTTTGGATATAGTTCATGCATGTCTATTGGGCAAACATAATGAGTC